TGGGAAGAGACAGTTAGGAGAGTCTTCATCATGTAGATGGAGATTTTTGTGTCATAGAGGATCTATAAGACCCCCAAACTCTTGCACCAACAACAGACCAGACTCTCTCTTTCCTCCAACAGTAAATCTCTCTCTACCTCTCTCTCTCTCTCTTGGACCAGACTCTCTCTTTCCTCCACACAGTAAACTCTCTCCACCTCTCTCTCTTTTCCAGGACAGGGGCTTGCCCCGACCTCTCTCTCTCTCTCTGTGTAGTGGGGTAGGGGCCTGCCCCAACCCCTCTCTCACTCTCTCACACTATTGGGGCAGGTATCTGCCCCAACATCTCTCACTCTCAAGCCTGACCTTCATGCTCAAGTGCAGTCTTTGATAAAGGTAAATCTTCATAAATGCGTGTCGATATTAATACAAAAAATTATTATACTTTGACGTACTAACTTTTTTGGTATGCATATCTTGATATGTGTAGCTTAACATGTACATGGATCATGAAGGTGATTCGCATTTAACAATGTGATAAGGGCGATTGGATGATTGCCTGCGGGAGTAGTTTTAGAACTACATAAGTATCACTATTTTAAGATTTCAAGTTACTTTATAAAGTATTATAACTTGTTTGCTATTAAATATTTTTCCATTTTTTTGTATCAGATAATTGGTGGCTTATGCATAGTATTCGAACGCCGTAACTTCAAAAGCTTGCCATTCGAATTTTGAGTAAAACATGTTCTGCCTTAGGTTGTGAGAGAAATTGGAGCACATTTCAGTGGATATGTGCTCCCAAGTGGAACAAGTTGAATACTCAAAGACTACACAACATTGTCTATGTCCACTATAACCTCAAACTGAGGTTGCACCAGATAGAGAGATCTCCCTCAGACTATTCCCTGATCAACTTGGAGTATAGGTTTATACAGACCTTGCTGATGAGTGGGTATCACCGAAGTTACCAATACTAAATCAAGAGTCCTTAGAAGAATCAATTGCGGACATGAATGATAACGATTACATTCCGGCAACCAACGAGGGAACATGGTGGAAGCCGCGGAAGTCATGGAGGAAGACGATGATGACTTCAATGAGAGCATCGATGAGGACGACGACAATGATGATAGGGAAATGCAAGATGATTGGCTTGAGCCAACAGTCATAGAGTGTGAGGTGTCGCAAGGTACTAGGACCTCAATTTTGGAAAAAGAGGGACTTAGGTTAGTTCATGAAGAAGTCGAGAGAGCCAGGCATAGCAACTACACCTCTAGACAAAGACGCACAGGTCGCAGGTGTCATAGGCTCATTAGTCAGGATGATTACAACGACGATGAGGGGCAAATCACAAGCCAAGGGGGTGAGAATCATGAACAATGTCAAAGTCTAGGTGACTATGGCCTAAGAACTTCACAATGTAGTATTCTTATTTGGCAAGACGGTATTGTTGCTGTCCTATAGACTCCACCAGGCTTCACGGCGATTTTTCCTCAGTCAACCCTGATAGCGAAACTCAAAAAAATCTCGAAACCCATGGTCGATCTTACTACTTTTGAGCAATGTTTTATACTACTGTGCAATATGTAATCTCTTTCAATTACTAGTTCACTAAAAAGTATTGCTTCAAGTGCCTAAAAATCTTTTCTGAAACCCAATTGTGCCTATCATATTTTTTATTTTTTTTGCTTGTTTTATGTAACAATATAAAAAAATAATACATGTAAATTTTGAACACTTTTTACAATTTTTTATAGTTCTTTTGAGAGTTTTTACCCCCATTTCATTTTTCAATATAAACTCATCACTAATCAGCCAATTAAATCGGAGTCAATCCGACAAATCAAGGCCACGACCGACTAGTCGGCCTAGCTCATTCTATTGAACACTTGATCAAACAATCACACAAGGTACACAAGTTATAGACAAATGCTCTTAGGCCACCATCTGGTGTGGCAGCTGCACCAATCCATTCCTCCACCTTCATTGATTTCTCATGTTTCTCATTAAAGCAATCTTTTAAGTCTAGTCAATCCAATCCATAAGTCATAACAGCCACACATGTCAATTAAAACATGCATAGGTATTACATAACTCATTATTCATACTTAGAGTTGGCAATGGGTCTGACAGTCCAGCCCTAAAATACTAGGACCTCCGACACAAAATGTGGCCTGTCCAAGGCCATGCTCCCCTGGCCTGGCCCAATATTTTCCTTTTTGTTTTTTGTTTTTCTTTGTATTTTCTTAGGCCTGACCCAAACCAGGCCAAGTCTCCTTTGACCCAATCTACAACAAGCCCGGCCGGGCTGGCCACATAGGGACTCAAATTGGGGCCTGGCCAAGCTGGCTCGGTTCGTTGCCAGCCCTATCGCTACTTATTGTGCACACACCCACTCTTACATGGCCTATGGTCGTTACAGAAACCACGCTCAAGGCGGTTACGTATTTGGAATTGAAATTTCCACACCATCAGGGTCAAGACACCTACCCCGCCAAGTGTATGGTAGCTGCCTCTCACACAAGGTCCATGCCCATATCCCATTAGGTCCGACAACCCATGGTCTGATGAGCAAAGGCTCAACTTGTTGGTCTCTGTGGTCCACAGGATCCCACCAACTTAGCCTATATGTTTACAACACTTGCTCAAGGCCTTACACTAAGGATCTTTAGCTGCTGGCCACATGTGCACGCACTACCGTACGGTACACTGCATCAGCCTCGCCTCTTGCCATGTCAAGGTTGAATGTATATCATCACCTTCGTGTAAGTTTATCGGTATTAAGAACGGACCCATTACGAGAGACCAAATCCAACCAAAGTAGCACAAGCCTGTATAGGAAGGAGCCTTTTGTTAGTTGTTTTGACGGTAATGGGTTCCACATAGACCCAATTAGCCTGCACGCATGAGACTAAGGTGTCTAACAGCAAGGGACTACAGAGGAGGGTCCTGGATTACATACTCTCAAACAAAGGTCGCAAATGCATAAATTTGTCCTTTGATTGTAGAACATTTTGGGTTGTAACTGCTGGGATTAAGAGTTCGTCTCATTCCAAATCAAGGGAAATGCACTCTAATATTGTTTGAATAATTTATTAGTTTTTTCTCTGATATCAATTTTCAGCTCATTCGACTGTCCAACACCCCAAAATACAAACATTTATTTATTTTAGAAATTCCACCCAAAAACACAACATAAACAATCAACTTCATTCTAACCACAAATTTAGTTTACAATCTCATTTTTGTTATTCAATCATAAGGCTTTCAATGCACTTAACATCCCCGGAGAATTTACCAATATTTATGAAGTTGTTATACCCTTTATTGGTCATTAATACCACGCAAACTTCATTAAGTATTTCTCCCATGCATGGAGATTCTTTCCTCAAGGAAAGGATAAAGATGTAATCTCAGTTAACATACTGCGTACAATCATGTAGGACTGGGAAAAGTTTACATATAATAAGGTTGCAACTTATAATATAGAAATAAAGTGCACCTCAAAAATCTAGTAAAAAATAGTGTTATTAAGTTGGAAAACTTCCTACTTGATCGTTTTGATCTTGAGATTTATGGATATAAAGAAAAAAAAAAAAAAATTTTCAAATCCTACAAATAGTGCATAACAAATTATCTAGAACATCTATTTTCAAGTGTTTATGGATCGACTCAATCTATACTATTTTTTAAATTTTAAAATTTCATAATTAGGATAAAACAGAATTAAGGCTCTTGGCACTAGAATATTTTCCAAAAATATTTAGAGGTACACCTTACTTGTATATACAAACCTCATCCTATAGGATTAGTCCCGGTATGAATCTAATCATGACTTGGGACAGATTACCCAATGTAAAAACCCATGAAAACATTTCCAAATAAACCCTAAATATAGATTTCTTGAACTCAACAAGCGCAGTCCTGGTAATGATGAGGCAATCTACTAAATTTTCTAACAAAATCCTTTACATTCTCTCTTTCTCAAAATAATAATAAAAAAAAAGTGTCAGTTTTTAACCTTTTCTTTTGAATTATTTTTGTGATCTTCTCCATTAGAAATATGCCAAATTTGGAATGAAATAAATCTCTGTAAAGAAAAGTTCATATAAAGTTACAACTTTATACTATAGAAATAAGGTGCACCTCATAAAAGAGTGTTCTAAAGTTGGAAAACCTCTCAATTAATCATCTTGACTCGAGTTTTATGAATATAAAGAAAAAAAAAAACAATCTTAAAAATAGTGTATCTTGTAACTAATTATTTAGACCGTCCATCTTCAAAATTCTCAAATGTTTATAAATATGCTTAACATGCACTGATTTTGAAATTTCAAATTACATAATTAGAGTTAAATATGGATTTTCAAGCTATTCTTTCGACTCCATAACACTATTTTCCAACAAGATTTAGAGGTGCACCTTACTAGTACAAGGTAAGCACCTTATAAAAACCTCTCATCCTATAAGACTAGTCCTACCATTAATCGGACAGATTACCCAGTGAAAAAGCCCATGAAAATAATTCCAAATAAAAGCTAAAAAATATATTTTTTGGACTCAACAAGCGCAATTTGGTGATGATGAAGCAATCTACTATATTTTCTCATAAAATCCCTTGCATTCTCTCTTTTCAAAAAAAAAAAGAAAAAAGGGTGGGTTTCTAACCTTTTCCTTTGAAATTCTTTTCTTAATCTTTTTCACTTGAAATATCTAAATTTGGGATGAAGTGAATGTCTATGAGGCCCACAAAACTCCGGATTATTTTTTTTTTGTTCGTTTTGAAAGGTAGGAATCAAACCTAAGACGGACTTTTTTTTGTTTTTGTTTCCTTTTTGAATAGTTTAATGGTAGGAATCAGACCTGAGATGTGCAGCTTTGCTTAAGCCCAATGCCTATTCCTTATGTTCAAGCACCATTAACCACTTAAACCCAATGCCTATTCCTTATGCTCCGGACACATACTACATATTCCCATCAATTATCACACACAAAACAAAGGTCGTTCATGGAAGAAGGAAGACAAACTCTAGCAGCAATTGCTCTTCAAGCAGAAATTGTAATGAAATTCAAAATCCAATCTCTCTATTTCTAAGCATTCCCTCAATAGCATTTGCGTTAAAAAATCACCAAAAATCCCATAAGAAAGACTCACCAAAATCCAAATCTCATAATCTTCTTCCCCCTGCAAATATTTTTATTTTCACTAATAATTATCCCAAAGGTCATTATAAACTTAGAAATTAAGAACTCCCCATCACACTCTCTCTCTAGATTTTTGCCAAAAGAATCCCCAACATTCTCTCTCTCTCCCTCTCAAACTTCTATGCTTATAGGATGAAAATTTGAAAAAACATTCTCCCTCTCTCACTCTCTCTTTCTAAAACTTTTATGGTTATAGGATGAAAATCTGAAAAAATAAATCAGTACCTTAATTACTCCCAATCTTCATCCTGCAATTGGTTTTCTACATTCTCCTTAGGAGGCCTCACCACCATCACTACACTCCCCAAAATTCTCACATTTCCCCCTCTCTCACTCACCACTGAACCCCTCTCAACCACCACCCCTCCCTCCTCTCTCTCCACCATATAAAGCCCATCTTCACCCTCTACCTCTCTCATCTCTCTGTCCACAATCACCAGCACAGGCTCCTCCTTGTACCACCTCTTCACCTTCCACGGCAATGCTCGCGCATCAATAAATGCCACCGCCACCACCCTTGCACTTGCCGCTGCCACTGGCTCCCAACCCGGCAGTGCCACCCACCGGTTCCACCCCACGTCTGCCCTCACCACCCCAAACTCCCCCTTCTCCTCTCTCCAAGCCGGAGCAGTTTCAACTTCCTTAACCAGAGCCTCACAAACGGGCATCAAAGCGATCGATTCTGCCTCTGCAACCTCTCCCGTCCTCATCCTAACGACCGGAACCCTAATAGTGGTTTCCTTCTGCTCATCTTCTGTAGGCGAGCTTGTGATGGTTTCGTCAATTCTTTTGCGAGCCTCTTCGGTCTCAGCGAGTGTCAGCGCGCGTTCAAGGAGGGCTGAGCGCTCACTGTCAATGCGCACCTCAGCGCTCTGCCGGAAGAGGGAGAACGCCAGGCAGTCCCCAGGGGAGGATGTAAACCCGGCACGCACAGACGCTGGCCGCCTCTCAAAGTCCTTTATCGCCCTTGCAAGCTCTCTTGCGCCATCGATTTCTAGATTATTAACCATCGCATATTTGGCAGCAGCAACACGTTGAGTGTTGGAGAGGAGGCGAAGCTCATAAAGTAAAGGAGCTGATGAAGGGGAATCGAAAAACACAAGGGTCTCGGGATCTAGGGCATTCTCGATTGAGGATCGAACTTGAGATGAAACAAGTAACTGATTTTGCTCGACGCCAGTGATGCCAGTGGATTCTTCGAGGGAGGAGGGACTGAAACCTTGGCGGTAGAGAGAGGAAATGAGAGGGGCATACTCGAACCAGCGGCCGAGGCGGTCGCGGAGGATTGAGAGCTGGGATTCGAGGTCGAGGGTTTTGTAGTGGGAGGGGAGGGGAGAGGGGGGAGGGCGGAAGGGTTGGTAAACTTCGGAGGGATTGGGGGAGAAGGAGGGGGGTGGGGGTCTGGGGTTAGAGAGAGAGAGGAAGAGGGGTGGGCGATGGGGTAGAGAGAGAAACTGGTATTTTCTCTGCAGTGTTGAAGGGGGGAAGGAGAAGAGATGTTTGGGAAGGGAGGTAAGGGATACCATAATTCTAGAGAGAGAGATGAAAGACGAATTAGGTACGGTAGAAGAGCAGAGGATCCTTCCTTGCTCTAGAGAGAGAGAGAGAGAGGGTTCCTAAGTAACAGTCCGAAGGAAACAGACGCAGAAGAATCTTATCTTGTAACGAAAATTATCAGAATACCCTTTCCAAGAAAGGGGGAATTTATCAAACCATCCTAAACGTTAATTTAACATTTCAAAGCTTGATTTGATAGAATTTACAACCCAGGATAACGTGTTATTTGGTTGGTTACTTTGAATTCTATAAGGATTATTTGAAATTAGATAAAGAAATATTTTTGAGATTTTAAATACTTCAACTATTAGATTTGATTTGATAAATTTCTAAGAATGGATACTAAATTAGAGATGGATTTCTTTTCGTTTGAGGTCATGGTGGTAGCACCACCACCTGAGCCTCGGCTACCAGTCTAGAGGTACCATTCCTAATGATTTCATTCCCATTGACGACACATTTGAAAACCACTAACTATTTTTAAAATTGGTAGGGCCAATGCACGGTATAAAAATCAATTGAAATTCCAATAATTTCCCCCATTTTGGTACTAAAAGAAGGCATATTGTAAAAATCCAATAATTTCCCCCACTTTGGGACGAAAAGAAAGCATAAACGCATATTGGAAAAATGCTACAAATTTGAAGAGAAACAGATGCATAAATATCTTGCCGTGCATTTCTTTATGCAATGGAAACAAAAAAATCAAATACAAACATTTCTTCATGCAATGGAAAAAGCAAATAAAATACAAAATTAAGGCGAAATTGCACACTTCAGCGAAAACAAAATACATATTCTTGTAGACTTGGGCTAATCCAGCCAATAAACAGATAGCAATACTGCCGAAACAAATATGGCTAATAATTGTTCTCCAACAAAATTTTCTTAAAACAACAAATTTAAAAGAGGAAAGAAACAAAGAAATTCTGCATCAACCGGTCCAAGAAGCAAGTACGTGAGAGCTACCATTACAAAATCTACCCGCAAATTCAGGTAGGAGATATATATAGAGGCTTAGGCGTATAAGACCTAGTTGATTCGACTATGGAATGGTGATCTAAGTGCTTCATGTAAACCAAATGTTCATAAAAGTAAGTATATCCATCTAGGTAGTCTTTGCCTTGGGTGACTTCTTCTTGGAAACTTTCTTTGGAAACGAGTTCTTCATGCCAATGAAGAAAAGCAATGCTCCAAACAGTGCCAAACTCTAGAACACCAATAGTAGAATGTCAGTAATCAAATAAATCTCCCTTCCTCACTCTCACTCTCCCTCTCTCTCTCTCTCTCTCTCTCACTCATATCACACATGTAAACGCAAATACACATGCATGTCTATGTATACAAGCATCTTATTGAGCCAGTCAACAACAAAATTGTCAAGCTCATTGACAATGCAGATTCGTTGGGGAAACAAATCAGGAGGAGGAAAAAAAGGGACAACCCTGCAACCTTGTCACTGATGTTTGAATACAAGGAAGAGGTTCAGATCGATTACTTTTGATCTTCCCAACGTTTAAGAGCAGAAGAGGTCCAGATAGATTAAAATGTATTGTCCAGAATTATACTTAAGACTACATCACGTATACCCTCCTTAAAAGCAAGGCCTCTCTCTCAAAGATAACCATAAACTTATATCAAATTCTCAATTAGTAACTCTTCATCAGTTTTTAATAATTAGTCCATGCATCCTCAAAAAATTTTAAAGGGACCCAGCCAAAGTAGAATACAATTGGAAAAAATGGATTGTTTTAGCATTAATCCAGAAAAGCTCAGGGAAGTTCCTTACTTAATTTAAGAAAGAAGCATTTCAAGGAAACAAGATGTTTACCTGAAGAAACTGGTGGAACAATAAAACATACTCAGGCTTCTCCATGTCATAGCTGTAAAAGTCACAGAGAATAGGAGCTGAAAATGCCAGGTCTAGAAGCTGCATAAGTAAACCAACATAGGCATTTAGAACAAGTGTAGAACTATCAATATGGAGCACCAACCGAAATCAGTGTCTTATACGCAGCATATAAAGACTCTAACCAGGGATTTTAATATCAATAATAAAGTAAGGAGAGTGAAGAGTCACAACCAAAAGATAGGCTCCAAGAGAGCTTCCAAGTATGAAGAATATGCTTCCTATTCCCTTCAGGGCAATGTCTGCAGCAATTATATGCCTCATCTGCAGATGATCTCCGAAATAAAAAAGGTAAGTGAGAACAGAGGACCGCATTTAGAACTCTCTTAAGAGAGCCTGAAGGAGCGACAAATGGAACAAGGAGAGAGAAGAATGTGTGAACGAGAGAGAGAGAGAGAGCGAGAGAGTTTGGACCTCAATTTCAGGCATGTTTACCCCAAGCTTAGCTGAAACATGACTTCTGAAAAGAAGAAACTTGGATTCAAAGGCATCTGCAAAGACCCCATCATCAACAACAAGTTCATCCAACCTGAATATGCACATAGAACATTTTTAGAAATCAGGTAACAAACAATATTTCTGGAATTGAATAAGATGAGAATGTTTTCAGATGACAGCTATAGTGTGAGTGTGAATTGGAAACAAGATACCTAGGGCAAAAAATGGAGGGAATCATAGTTCAAAAAATTAGGTTATGTGAAAATAATGAATGTCATCAAGGTAGAACCCTGTGTGTTAATGGTCGAGGGGATGGAATATAATACCCATTTTAAGAAAATAACAAACTTTTATTTTGAATATTAGATATTACATAATAGGAGTAGAGATGAGAAAGTAGTTAAGATTGACGACCAAGAAATACCAAAAAATGCACTTTCACTATCTTGGGTCAATAATCCAGGAAAATTGAGAGATTGAGGAAGTTGTCGCACATAGAATTAGAGCTGGGTGGCGAAGTGGAGATGTGCAACTGAAGCTTTATGCGATCGCCGCATACCAATGTAGTTGAAGGGTAAGTTCTATAGGACAACAGTGAGACCAGCTTTGCTTTTTGGGACAGAATGTTGGGCAGTCAAAAAACAACATACCCATAGAATGAGTGTAGCTGAGATGAGGATGTTGAGATGGATGAATGGCAAGACAAGAAGGGATAGAATTCGGAATGATACATTCAAGAGAATTTAGGAGTGACACTAATAAGCAATAAGATGAGAGAAAGTAGAAATTGGTGGGTTGGCCATGTGCTGCGTATACCCAGTACAACACCTATTAGAATATGCTAGTTAATTCAAATGGAAGGCTCAAAAAGGATAAGGGGTAGGCCCAAAGGGATATGGTTACACAATGAGAAAAGATATAGGGACTTATGGCCTCACTGATGGTATGATCCTTAATAGAGCAGAATGGTGGATCAAGATTCGTATAACCGACCCAGATTAGTTGAGAAAAGGCTCTGACAATGATGATGATTGGATATTACATAACAGTACAAACGACTGTGGTAATAATTTATGTTTCTTTGCATATAATGGCATTTTCATTTCATACCAAAATATTTAAAAAACAGTGAACTCAGTTATTTCCATCACTATTCTTTATTTCCTTTTCTACAAATTTCCCTTTTTCCTGTATTTTCTGTTACAATGGACCAGTATGTTTTGTAACAGAAACAAAACCTACCCTTCGTGACCAGAATTTTATTTCTTGCATGGCAGCATTCATGCAAAGGTTCTCAAAAGCATTTTTTGTTAACTGCCATTGGCTGTCATAACAACAGAGTTCCTCTATATGGCTCTAATAGTGAAATAATAGACTCTCACAACAGTAATGGACAAAGCCGTTATATAAGGCATAGTATGATTTTTTTTAAAACTTGATTGCTGCAAACCAATATGAAACTCACAAATCAATTGTCGTCTAGACAGCCTAGGAAGAAGCCCACAAGTTATGAGGCAGAATGTTTTGTAAAGCACAATTCACAATGTTCAAAATGCTTCCTTACAAAGGCATTCCCTTTCCAATTTTCAACAGATAACTTAGATCTATTGAAATGTTGAGAAGTGGACAGAGACTAAGAGAGAGGTGGACAGAGACTAAGAGAGAGGGACTGACTCTCCAATGGACCATGCTTTTTCTGGAAACTTAAAGAACATAAGGTAAAATCAAATGACTAATCAAATTCTTTACAAAATAAGTTTCTGTAGTTTGAGTAGCATAAGCCATTTAAGCCAAGTGATTGACTTGGTTTGACTTTTGTTTTTTTTTGGGGGGGGTTGAATGTCACTGGAATAAAAATGGCCCAGTGCACTTCAAAGTTGATACTGTAGGAGATGCCAATTTGTTCATGTCAGTGTTAAAGAAATTGGGGACTCGGCTCAGACTCGCCCAAGTCAGCTAGGGTAAGGACCCTAGGGGGTGAGGAGGCAAACCTTGGGACCGGCGCCAATTCTTTTATAGAACCCTATTTTCTTTGTTTGAAAATCACCAGTCCAAAATTGGGACTCACCTGAGTCAAACCAGGTGACTCGGTCTCCGGACCCTAGGGAGTCTGAGCCAGAGTCCATGTTTTAAACACTACTTCATGTAAACCTATAAGGTTATGCAATGTACATAACACATCAAAAGTGAAGTTCCTCAAAATCTGTGAAGCTTTTATCTCCCAAAACACCTTAATAATATGCTTAATAGAAACAATTAACAATTACATGGTCATAAAAGAGCATGAAGAGAAGGCTCAACACAAGCTGAAAGAAAGGAAGACAACAAACCCATCAATCAAAATCTTTCAGGTTTTAAGGTTTCCACTCCAATAGATAATGCTAGGTATGTTAAAGGCACAAGATATCCCACCAGCTACAAGAAGCTGACTAGGCTGTAGGCACCTTTGTCTAAATTGTTGGTACTAAACCCCTAATTATTTGGAAGAGTTATCTTCATTAAAGAATCACATATTTTCCACATTATCCAAAGTTTTGTCATTAAAGTACATCTATTATTTCATGAAATCATAATGTAACTCTCAAGGTCCAAATACAAGTGTAGTACTTCCAAAATCTATACTACGATGGTTTGAGTAGATACATAGAAACTATGACATTTCCAACAGCTCACGGGATACAAACATGATAAAAATAATCTAACCAGGGTTGATAAAGAAAATGTAGTTTGTTGGACTCACTTTTCTAGTAATGAGGTACCAAACAGATATTCCACCGAAGTAATTAATAATTTAATACCTCCATGTTATATATAAATATCTTTATTAAAAACATTCAAAGCATTATCATCTAATGTTTCTCAAGATATGATCTATCGGAAGAATACATTGATATATGAACCAAACATAGAAAAACCAAAGTTCGACAAACTAAAGCTCAAGTATAATCTAACAAGGGTTGATAAAGAAAATGTAGTTTGTGGAACTCACTTTTCTACATAATGAGGTACCAAACAGATATTACACCGAAATAATTAATAATTTAATACCTCCATATTATATATAAATATCTTTATTAAAAACATTCAAAGCATTATCATCTAATGTTTCTCAGGATATGATCTATCGCAAGAATACTTTGATATATGAACCGAACATAGAAAACTAAAGTTGGACAAACTAAAGCTCAAGTACAGGATTTCCAAATGAAAAGAAGCAAAAGCAACAGACCCATAGAATATTTTGATTTTGGATATCTATAATGAATCACTTCCTACCACTGAACTACCCAAAATAAACGATGCCTACAGTGATGGATATGTTTTGATTTTGGATGTCTATAATGAATCACTTCCTACCACTGAACTACCCAAAATAAACGATGCCTACAGTGATGGATATGTTTTGATTTTGGATGTCTATAATGAATCACTTCCTACCACTAAACTACCCAAAATAAACGATGCCTACAGTGATGGATATGTTCACACAAGACAATAAGCATAATGTAGGTAAATGGCACGGAACTGGGCTTGGGTTTGACTGTTTAGTTGCTGATGATTGAAACACTATGTCCCAAGTTCAATTCCTACCGCTGAACTACCAGAAAAAGAATATAAGTAAATGGCATGATCATACCCATATATCGAAGAGATAACACAACGTATCTCAAGAACAAATTGAGTAAACAGGAAACAAGTAACAATCAAAACTCAAGAATATTATGATACCTTTGTTTTTAAGGTGAAACCTAATTGTGTTCAAAGAATTCTAGAAGTGCATTGAATTTAAATTTCTTCTATTGTTGTGAATTTTGACAAGACAACTCGAACAAAAATAATACATGACACTAGAAAGCATAATCAATGCAATCAAAGGTCTTACACGTCCATGCATCCCAAAGAATATCCTCCTCAAAATATTCAAAATTTCAAATACAGTATCACCAATATCGATACGCATCATTGAAATATATTTAAATTCACATATAGAAGCCTTTATAGACAGGGTTCCAACTATTGTTCTCTCTCCCCCGGCCCCCCACAATCCCTCTCTTACCAATTAATTTGGGGTGTAATCTTCAATCAGAAACAAACAGAACATCTACAGAAATGATGAAATCTTAATGATAGAATCATTAATTAGAGACCATAAAGCATTTGGTAGCTGAAAGCAACGCAAAATATGATCTTAGATGAAAGGGAACTCACCAAGGACCCAAGACTAAGCAACTCAGAGATGAACTAGGTGATCTCATTCTCCTCTTGGTTTCGCAACATTCAGTAAGTAACAATAATTTATGCTTAAAATAAATTATTAGGGAAATGTAAACAGAGTCATAGTCCAAGGAAAGGGAAACAGACAAAAAAAACCCATGGTTCTTAAAATAAAGCATAAAAAAAGGGCTAAATCCAATTGTCAAAATAAGAAACAAGGACCAACACTATGAAAAAATCCAATTTGATTTCCAACAAACACTCCTTTGGGTCCACAATCAAGCCAATTTCATCAGGCTCAAGTGAAAATCCTCACTCCTATGCCATTTCACATAAGAAGAAAACCAAAAAATAGACAAACAGGTAGAAACCCAAAGTAAGGAAGGGAATGTAAACACGATCCAGTAATGAAGCTTACAAATTTCATGGTCTTAAAGGAAGGGCCAAACCCAATTATTAAACTATGAAGACATGTATCCTAATTCAATAACAGACCAGCATTCATGGAGACACGACATTTGCATGGATAAACATGCCATAGGGGAGAAAAATGAAGAACCACAATCTAAAATCGAGAGAAAACAATCAGAGAAAACTAAAATTGCAGCACCATTGCCACTTCACATAAGGAAGAGAAATAAAACATACAAAAATTGGTAAAAAGAATTTGAAATTCAGGATCCACAAGTCGTAACACAAAATGGAGGAACATGGGGGACAAGAAATTGAGAACTCACATGCGCCATGCCGAGAAGATGAAAAGACATGAGAAAAACAATCTTCCCACAAAGGAAAGAAAACCCATCAAACCCCTCTGCTTAAAAATGGGAAGCCAATGACAATGAGAGAAAGGGAGAGGTCTTCACACTATATCTCCCTTCACTATGCAAAGAAGAACGCCCCATTCGTTGTTTGGAGGTGTGTTTTTACCCAACAAAACAAGGAGAAATCCCTAACAAACCAATTTTTCTTTCTAACAAACCAATTTTTTATGCCTTTTCAGCCAATTAAAATGTAAAATTTGCTCTCATCGAATGGAAAAAATGTAGAGTTTCACCTTGCATTATGCTTTCAGGTCCTCGTTTTGAGGTGGGATAAAGAAATGCAAATTTCAGGGTTTTATATGAATTCGTGTAGCATGTTCTTGCATAAGCATACTGCATATTTACTCTCTTAGGTTAAAGAGCTACTTTTGAGAAGAAAAAAATTTGTTTAAGGGATTGTATACGAGGAGACAATTTACTACAAAGAGGTCAAAATTGTTATTAGCTATTAGATGTCAAATTTGATGGTTTAGGCGTGCTATAAAATTCAATAAATTTTTTAAACTTTGAGTCCAATCAATGGCATACTCACAGCCACCTGATTTGTAATCTAACGGACAAGAGTGATAGTGACCTCCTTTTATTAAAAGTAAATGGTCACATTTATATACTTTCCATTTTTGTAATATAAAATTTTGGTTCCTCTTAAGCATCAATAGATTATAATTTTTAGGGGAAAAAAAGACTTCATTGATTTCCTTGACACTAAGATATGATATTAGTTTTTTCCTACACTTGCATAGTAGGTTTGATTTTTTTGATATTGATCACAATATGTCGTGTTTCCAAAATTTAGTGTGCCAAATGTAATCGAAGATTGAATTTTATCCCCGGAAGTTAGGCGTGGCAATGGACCTAGACTCAAACGGGGATTAGGGGTAGACCAACCTAGGTTCAAGTATGGGTCCAAAACTTGGACCCAAACACTATTTCAGGTTCTGGTCCAATCAGGTCCGATCGGATCTTGGTCCGACATATATTTTTGGATCTTAATTTAAGAAAAATAGTTAAATATATTTAAATACATATGCATTTTAATTTTTGGTTGGGTTCTATTGGATCCAGGTCCCACATTTGTATTTTCAAGTCCGAGTCATCTGACTTCGGGTCCGATCGAGTTCAAATCCAGGTTCAGGTCCGTAATACTTTGTCAGGTCTGGGTCTAGGTCTAGCCAAACCCAACCCCTTGCCACCCCCTTCTGGGAGTGAAGCAAAGAAATGGTCATGCAGGATCACCAAATATTTTGCTTTATTAGATTCTATGGTAGCAGAACTGGTTGTCCATGGGTTTGGGTGGCTAATGAATGACCAAAATTTGGACGAAATTGGTCTCCATAAAATAAATCAAGTAACCGCATTCTCTACCTATTATGTTTTGGATAATGGATGGTATGGCAGGAATATAATTTAGATCAAAGTATCGCAATCTCTGTTATGGCTTTTGGGAAAAAGATACAAATTCAATCTCTCAGTATGATTATTTTTTGACTTTTGAGGCTATGATTGCACCCAACTTCAGTCTATATTATGTGAATTTAGAATGGTTCTCTCAATGCAAGTTTCCGGGCCGACTTGGACATTTTTCCATCTAGAATGGACGAGTATGCATGATTCCCCACGTCACATCACATTCAACATGTACACTGTTTCTTTTCTTTTACTTTTTTCTTTTTGTTTTGTATAAAAATCGTCAACCTGGATCCGGAATAGCCGACGTGAATTGAGAGCCTATACTCTATACCTGATTTGTGATTGGAACTGGGAATTGATAGGACTCCTATAGACTCACGTGGTTCCATCAAGAACCGAGTGAGTAACCAAGCGACCCGAATCGCTCCGATCGTCCAACTCCTACTCATTTTATATTTTATTTTTTCAAATTTTTTTTGTTTCAAAATCAAAGTTATTATTTAATATTTTGGGACAATTATCAATATGATTCCCAGAAGTGGACTAGATTTCCAGAGGGCCAGCAATCCAATTTTGAAAACAATAGGGTTTTTACACAAGATTCAAAAAAGAATAACATTAGTTCATATAATAACATTTATTGCCAATTATTTAGAAATATGGCCATTATTTCTATTTTATTAGGTTACAAAAAGGGTGCCTAACAATTCTTGCCGATTATTTAGAAATATGGCCATTATTTCTATTTTATTAGGTTACAAAAAGGGTGGCTAAAAACAAAACACCGTACTCGCCTCCTTTTTTAGATCATTAAAGTTTTTTCTTTTCTTTTTAGTTTCACGGGGAGAGGGCCCTTACCCTTGATGATAGGAATTGAATCTAGGATGTAGCGTTCCAAATTGTCAAGTGCTACCAATCAAGCTTGCGCCTTTTTCCTATAAAAAAACAAAAAAAATGCCATGCTCTTGCAATGCGCTTTAACAAAAATGTTGTCACCTTTCAAATCTAGAGAAATTTAAGCATACAACCCCCTTAATATATTGATATTTAAAAAATCTCCCTTTAAAGTTTGGTATTATGTTCAAATACGTTTTTCTGGGTTTTTTAGTTTTCCCAAATTGCAATATTTTGGACTTTGAAGGTCTTAAGTTTACACCGAAGTTTTTTTTTTTTTCAACACAAGCCTATTTCAAACATTGAATGTCTAAAGTTTAAAACTTCAAATGTTTTACCAAAGCTCTTCTTCTTCTTATGTTTTTTCTTTTTTTTAATATCTTGTGTCCAAAAAAAAAACAACTTCAGCCTTCAAGGTCCAAAACTGGAGCAATTTGGGATCTTGAAGGTTGTGTTGAAACTTCAGACCTTTGCTCAAAATAAAAGTAATTTAGAAAAGATAGCAAAACAAAAATGGGTGAGGTTTGTATAAAGTGTCAACCCTAAACAATCACGGTAAGGTGCACCTCAAAATCTCATCAAAAGTTGTATTTTCGATGCCGAAACTCTTGTGATGACCTAAAAATCTAATTTTCACCCTTATTATGAAATTGAAAACTCCAAAAATAATGTAGATATAGCAAATCTATTGAAACTCTAAAATTTGTACAATGGACGGTAGATAATGTATTACAAGATGCACTATTTTTAATGTTTGAAATCTATTTTTCTTTTATAGCCATACATAACGAGGTCGAGATTGCAGTGACGTAACAACCTTTTCCCATGGGTTTCTAAGAAGCACCTTACTTGACACCTTATATAAACTTTTTCCGACAAAAAAAAAAAAAAGGTATGAACGTAATATTATTAAACTTCAAAAAGAGAATTTTTAAGTAGTAATAATTTATGGGATATATGTGTATATTTCTCTCAATTTTATTATTTTGACCTAAAAAGGAAAAATATTATGTAATTAGCATGAAAATGAAATATGGAACTTTAGCCCAACATCTATTGCTTTATTTATCTTGCGATGGTGAGTGACAGTTGCTCGTTATTTTGGAAAAAACAGTTTCTCAACTCTATTGCTTATGAAAGCATGAACATGGGTAAGAGCACCTCAATACTCTGTTCATATGAGATGCAATATCTAGAGCATGGAATTGTATCTCGAAACTCATTCTTAGAACCAATGCAAAATGCTGCTTAATTTCAGTGTCTTGCACTTTTTTATCCAAATTCATTGTATCTCCAAATTGGGTTTTTATTTGATTGGATCCAGGAAATTGGGTTTGTCAACCCTCATTTCCTCAATGGAGAAGCCCCCATCTCTTATTATCTCTTATTTTTCTTGTTTCTGGAGAGAAAGAGAGATTAGATAGATGGGGATGAACCTCATGTAGCTCCACATCGTTTTATGGTACTTTGAAGTGATGGGAAACCAAATGGTATTTGAGGAGTATTAATGGGTGTTGCTTCGGGTCTTGCATAGTCATTTATGAAGAGCCTAATCAGTATTTGTTGGAGACTCGAATACCCGAAACCCCAATTTAATCGATCACGGAATATCACAGATTCAATACCGAATATGTAAAATCAATAATTTAATAGTAAGCTTAATGATAGTGTGAAATAATTTAATAAAATAAATTAGATATGGAAAATATATTCATGAGAAAAATTTAGAGAGACAAACCACAACACGAATTTAATATGGTTCACCCCGTAGGGCTATATCCATGGGCAAGCCAGCAAGTATTCTACTATCAAAAGAGAAATTTACAAGATGATATAATATTACCTAAAAAAGAAAATTGGTGAAAAAACATCACCAAAATACCTTCTTGTAATCATCAAAAAACCAAGATTTATCTCACTTCACTTGGAATGACCCAAGCACATAAGCAACACAAGCTCATACCATTTCTTCCAAATGTAGGATAAGAAGATCCTTCTTCACCTCGTTCCCTTCTCAACATAACCCAAGGAAGACCTAGCCCCTTTTCTAAAGAGAAGAGCCCCCAAACAAATGGTAAGAGACAAAAACATCCAAAATGTGATTTTTCTATCACCATTCAACAATCTCTATCTTGATAGTAAATCATATAATTGTCTTGCTGATAATCCCCTTTTCACTTCTTCATGAAGCCTAGAGAAGTTAGGCTCCATTCTAACTTCTCTACGGGAACCATCTTTGTGAGCATATCCGCCACTTGGTTCCAACTTTCACCAATCAAACCAAACCATATTTAACAACTTGTCGAACATAATGGTATCAGACTAATATGTGCTTCGTCTTCTTGTGATAAACGAGATTCTTAGCCAAATTAATGGCACTCATATTATCACAAAGTATTTTCATGGAGGACTTGGAATTGATACTCAATTCTCTCATAAGGCCTTGAAGCCAAATCGCTTCTTTGCTTGCTTCGATTACCTCCAGGTATCCTGCCTTGGTAGTAGAAAATGCTACGGTTGATTGAAGCTTAGACATCTAACTTACCTCTCCATTTGCAAACTTGAAAATATAACCGGTCA